AAATGGGATTTTGGAGTGGAATTTGGGATGGAGAGGGGAGACAAAATAGGGTGTCCCTCCTGATGGGACCCAAAAAGGGATGTTACCCCCTCCAGTAAGTTTGGGGGGGTCAAAATAGGGGGTGTGTCCCCCAAAAACTGGGGGGATCCCAGGGAGGGGGATCAGGGGGATCATTTGGGCCTTTTTCCCCCAAATCTGAGCTGGGAGTCAGATTGGATTAGCTCCATAATATCCAGAGGATTTTTTCTGGGGGGGGATCAAGGGGATCATTTGGGCCTTTTCCCCCCAAATCTGAGCTGGGAGTCAGATTGGATTAGCTCCATAATATCCAGAGGATTTTTTCTGGGGGGGGATCAAGGGGATCATTTGGGCCTTTTCCCCCCAAATCTGAGCTGGGAGTCAGATTGGATTAGCTCCATAATATCCAGAGGATTTTTTCTGGGGGGGGATCAAGGGGATCATTTGGGCCTTTTCCCCCCAAATCTGAGCTGGGAGTCAGATGGGATTAGTTCTAGAGGATTTTTTTGGGGGGACAGGGAAGGGTCTGGGCCAGGCACATGGTCCCCACACAACCAAAAACGATGGTGAGAGAGAAAGAGAGAAAAAGAGAGGAGAGAGGAGGATTTTGGGGTGCAAGGAGCCTGGGGGGGGCTGGGAGCTCTTCCCCCAGAGCCCACGAGCTTCTCTGTAACCTACGCCCGCAGGAGTGGGGGGAAAAGCCCTAACAAAAGGCTCTGGCATGAAAAGAATCCTCAATACTTTAACTTTTTGGGCACTTCCCAAGGGAAACTGTCCCTACCAAAGTGGCCATAGGCTGCAGTCCTCTGATAAAGGGGTTTCTTCAGATCCAGATCCCTGGAATACACAATTCCCGACTCAGTCAAGAGGTTCTATGTTCTACCTCCTCCTCCCAGTGTTGTCTCCTCCTCATCCCTCAACCACCTCCCTGTGCCCTTTTTGCTCCTCCTTCTTCCTTCCCCTCCCACCACGGGCGGTTGGAGCTTCCCTGGATTTGCTCCTCCTCTTCCCAGAGAAACTCCAAGCGCTCAGCTCGGCGATACTCACCCCCAGCAGTTCTCTTCCCTCGGGCAGAGCCGGTTCAG